ACGCCCGAAGAGGCTTCCAAAAGGCTTCCAAGAGGCATCCGAGCGGCATTCAACCATCCACCCAGCGTCATCATTCTCCTCATCCCTCCTTCGCTCGGTTCCTCGCCACCCCCATCATCTATCCATCTGACCTCCTCTTCCGCCTCATCCTTTGCACGGATCGGCTGTCCCTCTCGTTGCTCCCCCACTTCCCTGATCTCTTCAACTTGCCTGGACATCGTTTCTGGATGGGCTGGTGGGGATACGCGAAGCGTCAATAATTTATTGAAGAATCGCGCTCTCGCTTGGGACTTCCTTGCAATTTACCACCGGATCGCGGCTCCCGCTTGACACTTCCTTACCATTTATTGAAGGATCGCGCTCTCGCTTGGGACTTTCTTGCAACTTACCACCGGATCGCGGTTCCCGACTGATACTTCTTTACAATTTATTCAAATGCCGCTCCTCGACACTCAGGAAACGCGCTCCCGCTGCGTGTTGTCTGGCGGTTCAAACAAAATTTACGCTTCAACGACCCGCCCGCTCGACCCGCCCGTCTGGGCCTGCCCGCCCGACCAGCCCATTAGGGACTGCAGTCGCCGCTCGCTGCCCTTCGCCCGCCTTCGATGCCCCTCGCTGCCCGTACTGGTTCCGCGGTCGCCGTCGCTCGCTGCCCTTCGTGGCCTCGCATTATATGCCCTTCGTGGCCCCCGCTCGCAGTCGCCCGTCGTGGCCCCATACGCATGCCCTTCGTAGCCCCGCTGTCGCCCTTCGTGGCCCTTTCGGTGCCTTTCGTGGCCGCTTTGCTGCCCTCAGTGGCCCGCTGTCGCCCTTTGTGGCCCCATATACGAATGCCCTTCGTAGCCCCCGCTCGTTCGCGCCCGTCCTGGCCCCATATGCATGCCCTTCGTGGCCCCGCTGTCGCCCTTCGTGGCCCCCTCTCTACCCTTCGTGGCCCCGTTTCTGCCCTCAGCGGCCCCGTCGCTGCCCTCTATGGCCCCGGATTAATTACCCTTCGTGGCCCCCGCTCGCTCGCGCCTTTCGTGGTCCCATGCGCATGCGTTTCGTCGCCCCGCTGTCGCCATTCGTGGCCCCCTCGCTGCCCTTCGTGGCCCACTTTCTGCGCTCAGTGGCCCCGCTGTCGCCCTTTCTGGCCCCATATATGTATGCCCTTCGTGGCACCCGCTCGTTTGCGCCCGTCGTGGCCCCATATGCATGCCCTTCGTGGCCCCGCTGTCGCTCTTCGTGGCCCCCTCTCTGCCCTTCGTGGCCCCGTTTCTGCCCTCAGCGGCTCCGTCGCTGCCCTCTGCGGCCCCCTACACGTATGCCCTTCGGGGCCCCCGCTCGTTCGCGCCCGTCGTGGCCCGCGCCAACAAGGGCTCTCGCCTGATACTTTCTTACATTGTATGTAAGAATCGCAATCTCGCTTGGGACTTCCCCGCAATTTGCAGCCGAATCGCGGCTCCCGCCTGATACTTCCTCGCAGTTTATTGGAGAATCGCGCACTCGCTTTGGACTTCCTCGCAACCATACGCATGCCCTTCGTCGCTGTCGCCCTTCGTGGCACTCTCGCTGCCCTTCGTAGCCCCTTTGCTGCCTTCAGTGGCCCCGCTGTCGCCCTTCGTGGCCCTCTCGCTGCCCTTCGTGGCCCCTTTGCTGCCCTCAGTGGCCCCGCTGTCGTCCTTTGTGGCCCCATATACGAATGCCCTACGTGGCCGCTCGCTCGCGCCGGTCGTGGCCCCATACGCATGCCCTTCGTGACACCGCTGTGACGAAGAAAATTTTGATGCTCAAACTGCGCCCCTGGCCCCTGGGTTACAACAACAACGGCTCCCGCCTGAGAGTTCCTCACAATTTAGCCAGGACCCCCGCTCCCGCCCGAGACTTCCTCGCATTTTATGCAGGAATCGCGCTCTCGCTTGGGACTTCCTTGCGCTATGCTCAAAAATCGCTCTCCCGGCGCTCTGGAATCGCGCCCTCGCTGGACACCCGCTTGCAATTTACTGAAGAATAGCGCCTTTGCGTTGAAATGTCCTGCAATTTGCTAAAGCGCCGCGCTCCCGACACCCAGGCACCCAGGAATCGCGCCCGTTGTGGCCCCATGTGCGTGCCCTTCGTGGCCCCGCTGTCGCCGTGTGTGGCCCCCTCACTGTCCTACGTGGCTCAGTTGCTACCCTCAGTGGCCCCATCGTTGCCTTCTGTAGCCCCGCACTATCTGCCCTTCGTAGCCCCCGCTAGTTCGTGCTCTTCGTGGCCCCATACGCATTCCCTTCGTGTCCCCGCTGTCGCCCTTCGTGGCCTACTTCGTGTCCTTCGTGGCCCTGCTGTCGTTCTCTCTCGCTCTCGCTTTCGCTTTCGCTCGTCGTCGCCGCCGTCGTCGTCGACGTCGTCGTCGTCGTCGTGGTCGAACTTCTGTCCGTCCCTCTTGGGGTCGGGTCGAAGGTCCGCGGCCGCCCCGCCGATCAGCGCTGCCGTTTGCCAGGCCGACGGTCCGCGGCCGCCCCGCCGCTTGCCGGGGCCCGGCCTGCAGAGAAGAAAGGTATACCCCCCAAAAGGGGTTCGACCGAAGACGAAGAGGGCGGGTATCGAGGGTTTGGGAAATACGCATCATTGGACACTCGAGCAGATATAGGCGAACAGTCTTAACATGTTGTGTTGTTGTTGTTGTTATTATTATTGTTTGCTTGCTTGATTGCTTGCGTGCTTGCTTGTTGTTGTTGCTGTTGCTGTTGTAGTTGCAGGTGTAGTTGTAGTTGTAGTTGTAGTTGTTGTTGTCGTTGTCGTTGTTCTTGTGGTTGCTGTTGCTGTTGCTGTTGCTGCTGTTGTGGTTGTGGTTGTGGCTTTGGTTGTGGTTGTTGTGGTTATTGTGGTTGTTGTGGTTGATGTTGTTGTTGCTGTTGTTGTATATTGTTGTATCTTAGTTATTATTTGTTGTTTGTTTGTTTGTTTGTTGCTTGTCGTCCCGCCTGCGCCCCCACCCGCGACCCACCCACGACCCACTCACGACCCACCCGCGACCCACCCGCGATCCACCCGCGACCCACCCGCGACCCACCCCACGACCCACCCGCGACGAACCCCGCGCCCGCCTCCTCCCTCTTATCCGCTGCGGCGGCGACGTCAAGACAACGATGCCAGAAACTGTTGAAACAATGAAGTTGGTGGCGCGCAGAAAGGGGGGGATGGGAAGGGGGGGTGCTTCTTAAAGGCGCAGAGCCTACATCCACAAACAAGTCCCACACCCGCGACCCATCCCGCGACCCGCCCGCGACCCGCCCGCGACCCGCCCGCGACCCACCGCACAACCCGCCCGCGACCCGCCCGCGACCCACCCGCGACCCACCCGCGACCCACCCGCGACCCACGCGCGACCCACCAGCGACCCACCTGCGACTCGCCCGCGACCCACCCGCGACCCATCCCGCGACCCACCCGCGACTTGCCCGCGACCCACCCGCGACTCACCCCGCGCCCGCCCCCTATACTCTTATTGGCAACTGCGGGGTGCTACATATATATATATATATATATATATATATTATATATATATATATGTATATACGTATGTATATGCATATGTGTGTATATATACACACGCATGTATATCCATATATATATATATATATATATATATATATATAGGTGTATATATATATATATGTATATGTAAATGTGTGTGATTTATTTATTTATTTATATATATATACACACACCTATTCATATGTTGTTATAAGGCTCGGGATCCCCGAAAAAACGCCAACACCCCCTAACGAATTTGGCCCACCCTGGGCCTCTCGGACCCTCCAGGCGACCAAGGAGAACCCCACGAGAACCCGAAAACGGCCCCAGAGGGCTCCAGGCGTTCCTGCGCGCTCCTGAAACGACCCCAGAGAGCACCAAGACTGTCCACGACGACCCCAAAGAAGCCGTCATACCCCCAAAGATCGTTCCAAAACGTCCCAAGAGGCCTCCAAGAGCACTCCCAAGAAGGCCCCAAGAGGCAACATTCATTGATTTTCTGTTGGTTTTTGGTGAATTTTGGGGTTCTCCTCTTTTCGGCTTCCCGACGCTTCAAGACGGCAGTCTTCTGGGCGTCCGAAGCCGCCTGGGAGGCTCGAAAATCGCCCACAGCCATCCGAAAGGGCTTTCAGGCAGTCCAAGAGAGCCCCAAGACGGCACAACAGGGTTCCAAGATGGCCAAAGAGAGCCCCATGACGGCCCAAGATGGCCCCTCCGACGCATTCCAAATCGTGACCTGGTCGTTCAGGGAGACCGAGGTTGGAGGTAGGGTGGCCCGAGGAAGCCTCCAGATGCCCTCAAAGACGCCCAGGAGGCCTCCAGAAGGCCTCAATAAAGCCTGAGAACTTTTGTGAGGCCCCCACTCCATGGAGGAGCCTCCGCAAAAAGAGCTCAGGAGGATGGGGAAAAAACACAGGGTATGGCGAGAATGAGGAAAAAGAAACAAAGAGGAAAAGAAGCATGGAGAAATGATGACGAAAAACATCATTATAACGGCGATGCAGGAAACAGCAACAAGAAATTATCGCTAAATCGTCGGCTTGGTCTTCCTGCCAATCCGCCTGCACACCAAGCTTACCAAGCTTCAAGGACCAAGGTGCATGGCGAGAAGCGCCAATGCAGTCTTGTGTAATATGTATGTGTGTATATATATACATGTATATAAATTGAGACCGCTGACCAAGGTGCCTCCCCAAATGCTCCGAAGGGTGGGTTGGGGGGGGCAGATACCAGCCATCCCTGGTAACCCAAAAGCTACCCTGGCTCCGCCAGGGATGGGGCAGGATGACTGGGATGACGGAGGAGGGGGGGAGCTCCATCTCTCTCCCCTCTCTCCCTCTTCTCCTTCCCCTCGCCTCCTCTTTCCTTTCGCCCCCTCCGCTCCCCCTCGCTCCTCCCTGTCCCTCGCTATACTACCCCCTAGGCTTCCCCCCTCCCTTCCCCCCCAGTCCTCCCTCCGTCCCTCCCTCCTTCCCTCCCTCCCTCCCTCCCTCTGGGAGCTCCTCCGCTGGCGCCTCCTCCACGGGCGCCCACATCCACTTGACCCCCTCCGTCTGCTTCTTTGCAATGCGACCACTGGCGAGGCGCCAGCAGTTGACCTCCTCGGCCACCACCTCGCCCCATATGTCGACGGAACCATCCGGCTTCAGCTCGATGTTCTGGATGGTGGCGCCGACTCCCGAGGCCGGGGCGGCCGTGCCTGCGGCCTCCTCGGGTACGAACAGGAGCAGCGTGACCAAACGAATCAGCCCAGAGGCTCTAGATGCAGCAACACTGATGCTCCGACCTTCATGTGTTTTTTCCTGCACGCCTGGTTGGCCTGTTCTGCATCTCCCGCTTGCCTCCTCGAGGGGGGCGCAGCCTATGCTTCGGAGTCGTAGTGCTTCCCTCCTTCGAGGGCGAGCTTTTGCGTGTACGTGTGTGTGTGTGTGTGTGTGTGTGTGTGTGTGTGTGTGTGTGTGTGTGTGTGTGTGTGCGCGTGGATGCACATGGCTTGATGCAACAATATTGGGAATTGTATTGGCACGTTCGTACGCGCGCACAAATTCGCAAACGCGTGTATGCTGAAGCCATCCCGCGCCTTGCGCGTGCTCAAGTTCCAGCTAGCTTGGATGTTAAGGCTTAGCGCGGAAGAAGAACCATGCCGTACTACTCCAACACCGAAGGGTCTGGATAGCGGCTTATGGCAAATCTTGGGACATGTGTAGACACACGCCGTGAAGCTACTTCTGCCGATCAATGGGAGATTCCAGAACTCGTCAAACAAACCATTACGCAATGCCTCGGGGCATGAACTGGTTGTCATGATCGACGGCACTCTTGTGACCTCTTGAAAAGGAGGAGGAGGAGGAGGAGGAGGAGGAGGAGGAGGACGAGGAGGAGGAGGAGGAGGACGAGGAGGAGGAGGAGGAGGAGGAGGCGGAGAAGGAGGAGGAGGAGGACGGATGAGGAGCGAAGAATGAGGAGGCAAAGGAGAGAAGGAGGGTAAGGAACAGACACGGGACCATCGAGGACGCCTGGGGCACGACACCGCCGCCCCCTTTCTTGGAAGGAACTTATGTGGCAAAATGTTGTGGAAAAGCAGCGCCCTCTTGAGCCTTCTTATCTTCTGGAACTCTCTTGGCACTCTCTTGGGTCGCCCCAGGGCCCTTTTGGGCAGCTGTGAACTCCGCTTGGGCAATCTTGGGGCTAGCTGGAAGCCTTCACGGGGTACTACTTGGAGCCGATTTGGGTGTGAGCCTCTTGGGCGGTCTGTGGCGCTCTTGAAATAGAAACAGTGGCATTGTTTAAAGTATCGAAGCACAATATCAAAATCACAATTTTTGCCATCTCAAGGGCTTCGCGGAGACTCTCTCTTGGACCGCTGTTGGAGCGTCTCAGGAGCCTCCAGGCCTGTCTCTGAGCATTGCTGGGGCTGCTTCCGGGTCCTCCTGTAGAGGCCTCCTGTATGAGGTCCGAATAGATGGGGTCGGAGGATCGCGATGCATCGCCGATGTATCGGTGATGCATCGGCGATGCGTCGGCGACGTCGGCGATGTATCGGCGACGTCGACGTGAAGGAAATCGTGCTCCGTGCCCCCGAAGCAAGACTCAGGAGCTACCCTTGACCACCCCCAGGCCCGATGATTTTGGATACCAGAATTTCCTGGGACAGTTCCGGTCCGGGGGAACTCTGGTCTGGGCACCCGCAGCACGAAGCAGGAGCTGCCGCTGACCACCCCTGACCATGATGATTCGGAACTCTGACCTGGGCCGCCTTTTGGGCGTCCTGGGCCGTCTGGGGGACGATACCTAGCCCGCTAGTGGTTCCTGGTCTGGGGGCCTCGGCACCAGGTCACTGGCCGCGGGGCCCCATGGCTCGGGTCCCCCGTTGCATCCGCTACCGCGGTTGCAGCGGTTGGTGTGCGTCGGGCCCTTTTGTTTTCTCGAAACGTCTTGTCGACGTCGCATACCGCGCCCGCCCGGGCCGCCGACTCGCACTGAAATGCCCGCGCGTCAACGCGGCTTGCGAGACGCGCTGGGAACTCCCCAGCAGTACAGCGGTCACCGCCACCGCGGCCGCAGCGCCAGAATAATTACCTTGCTGCTCTGCGCGCGAGCCTGCGCGTGCAGCAGCGGCAGCAGCGATGCGCCAGCCGGCGCCAAGCCGTCATTGTAATCGCAACCGCAAGGATTTCTCAAACCAAACTGCAATGGAATTGCTCGAACAATTGAATTGAAAACTTCAGGTTCGGCAAGGTGAATTCTCTTTTCTACGAGAAGAATAGACCTTCCCCCCGGAGTTATCGGGTCTCCTTTTCGTGTTGCAATTTGTTTACGATTCTGCTCCATCGTCCATCCGAAATGTGAATTCATACAATCCCAGCCAGGCCGGCATCGCCCCCCGCCGCCATCCTGTGCAAAAAAACGATGCGGGCACACTTTTTAATCTTAAGAAGGCAAATGTCAATCATCCCGTCAGAAAAGACAGCAAAGTCATCACGCGCGCGTCCATGTCAAATCGTACCAAACACAATGTATTTGCACGCGTTTTAGCATACGAACCAAAAAAAGCAAATGGCTTTGCAACGCAAGTGTTGCAAATGTCTCGTCCGCGCGCTCGTGCGAAAATCAAACAGAAACCATAGGATTCTTATGAAGTCTGCCACACCTAGCCGTTTCGCGTCACCGCTCGGTGCACCTGCGATACTCCTGTCATGCGCCGAGGGCGCGAATCCCTTGCAAAAACACCACGCGGGCCACATGCGCGCACCCTCGCGCGCGCATGGTCAGTCTGACGGATTTGCGGAACTTCCGCGCGCGGATTTCCTTTTCAACCTTGTCGGCATCACCGCGATCACCTGCCTCGTCGACAGATGGACATCAGCATCGTCAGCGTGTTTGCCATCATTGGCGCCGTTATCGTTCGTGCCGTCACCCTCTTGATCATCGTCGTCGCCGGTGCCATCCTCGTCATTGTCGCAAACGTTGCCGACGTCATCTTGTCATCGCGCACGTCCGAGTATCGACTCACGGTGGCGAACATCGGCAATGTGGATGTCATCAGCGATGTCGTCATCGGCGGCGCCGCCGCCCCCCGCATCGTGAGTTTTGCCAAACAAGTTGCGGGTGGGCGGGTGGGGTGTCTGCGCGAGCAGCGGAGATGACGACTTGAAGTTCAGCAGAGTGGATTCTCCTTTCTAAAAAGAGAATAGACTCTACCCCCCCCCCCGGACTGAATGCTTCCCCCTGGGATGCTATAGTTATATATATATATATATATGCACACTCGTCCATCCGAAATATGAAATCATATCATCCCAGCTAGGCCGGGTTCCCCCCCTGACGTTTCCTTGTAAAAAACACTATGCGGTGACATTGTTTGTTCTAACATAACACTTTTTCGCGAATCCCTTCCAAAATCAAGGGCGAAGTGCACACGCGCGCGTCGTCGCGCGCGCATGCCGAAATCCTTCAAAAACCCTCGGTGCCAGAAGGATTTCGCAATCGAGTTTCCAAACAACATACAAAAACACAGGGTTTCGCAACACAGAGTTGCTAAAACAACTTCCGCGAAAGCTCTTGCGAAATCTTAGGAAAACCATAGGTTTACCAAGATTTTCACGACATGCTACCAAACGGGCTTCGCGCGCGCTCATGTCGAAATCTGTCGAACGCCCTTGCGCGTGTGCCGTCGCGAGAATCCCCGGCAAAAAATGAAACGAAGTGCAGACGCGCGCGTCGTCGCGCGCGTACGCCGGAAACCTTCAAAACCCATCGTTTTCGGAAGGATTTCAAAATCGTGTGTCCAAAAAACCTACAAAAACAGGAGGTTTCGCAACACGGTTTTTCAACAAAAGCGTGCGCGCGCGATCTTGCGTCGTCGTCGTCGTCGTCGTCGCCGTCCTCCCTCCTCCCGCGTCGTTGTCGTCGTCGTCGTTGCCTACGTCGTCCTCTGTCTTTCCTCGTGTTCGTCGTCGTCGTCCTCTTTGGCGTCGTGGTCGTTTCCGTCGTCGTTGTCGCCGTGGTCGTCCTTCCTCCTCCTCCCTCGTCGTCGTCGTCGTCCGTCGTCGGCGTCTCGTCGTCGTCCCTCCTATTTCGTCGCCGTCGTCGTCGTCGTCGTCGTCGTCGTCGTTGTCGTCGTCGTCGTCTTCCCTCCTTCCTCGTCGTTGCCGTCGTCGGCGTCGCCGTCCTTTCTCCTTCTTCGTCGTTCGCGTCGTCGCCGTCCTCCCTCCTCCCTCGTCGTTGTCGTCGTTGTCGCCGTCGTCGTCCTCCCTCCTTCCTCGTTGTCTTCGTTGGCGACGTCGTCGTCGTCTTCGTCGTCGTCGTCGCCGTCGTCGTCGTCGTCGTCGTCGGCGTCGTCGACGTCGTCGTCGTCGTCGGTGTCGTCGTTATCGTCGTCGTCGGCGTCGTCATCGTCGTCGTCGTTGTCATCGTCGTCGTCGTCGGCGTCGGTGTCGTCGTCGTCGTCGTCGTGTCGTCGTCGTCGTCGTCGTCGTCGTTGTCGGCGTCGTCGAAGTCGTTGGAGACGTCGTCGGTGTCGTCGTAGTCGTTGTCGGCGGCGTCGTCATCGTCGTTGTCGCTGTCGTCGTCGGCGTCGCTGTTGTTGCCAAGTGCCATGTGGTACCCACCGTCACGGTCTTAAGAGATTTTGCAAACCAAGTTGCGGGTGGGTGGGTGGGATGTTTGCGCGAGCAGTGGAGTGGACAGCTTCAAGACGGTCAAGATTAATTGCACCACGTAGACTGCACCGCATAGCATGAGCACTGTATTTTGAATCGCGCAGATCACCCCACCTGGATTGCACAACGCACAAATTGCACAACATACAGCGCACAACGCATATTCTCTTTGCCAAAAGTAACGTAGGATCCACCACCACCACCACCACAGCCCCCAATTTTATCGCCCCCCTCTGGGATCAAACAGTGTGCATGCGATTATGCCGCGTCGCTAAGTGTAAATACGACGTCGTGCCATCCCAGATGGGCCGGCATGGCCTCCCCCCTCCGCCTCATCCCTGCCATGTAACATCATGCGCGCGCCGTCGTTTATAAACAATCAGAAATTGTCAAACATGCCCTGCCGCATGCGCGACAAATCCACGCGCGTGCGGCGTCGCGCGCTTATGCCCAAATCCGCCAACAACCTCAATTTTCGCACGGATGTCAAAATCGAGGTTCCCGAAACCATTCGAAACACCAGTGGTTTCTCGAACTGATGTCTCGGAACATGAACCTGCGCGCGCGCTCTTGCGAATTCCTTTGAAAACCGAATCTTTCGCAACCTGTTCACCATGGGCGACCCAGCGGGCCTCTCGCGCGCGCATGCCAAAATCATTCGACCGCGCTTATGCGCGCGCTGGGGCGATAGGGGGGATGCGATCTCTTCCAAATAACGCCGCGCGGACCACTCGCGCCCGTCGGCCGTGC